TTCCACCAGCATAAACAACGCCAGAATAGGTTAAAATGGAAAGAGCCGAATCTATGGATCATTGTTTTTGAGACCAATCAAGAAGAAATGCGGTAATAGCTCAGGAAAGGGCGGTTTTCAGAAGGACAATGATGGGGAAAACCAAGAGGTCAGCACTTTGCCAAAATGTTCTCCCCAGCACCAACGTAAGGAAATTGGCTCTGAGCCTAAGGAAGGAGCACTCCCATCGCATCCCATGGCAAGCACTGCTCACATCCCTACCCCACTTCCACCAAGGGTCACAGGACAGATGGATGCATGCTAAAGGAGATCCCCAGGCCTTCAACTGGACCCAAATGTGGAGAACTTGAGTTCAAGTGCTACTCAAAATCCTCTTGTTTCCAAAAGGAGCTGCACCAAAGACTCACCCTCCCTTACGCTTGGAGCATGCAGCTCCTGTGGGCTAGGGGTAAATCTGTCTGTCTTCACTGCTTCGCTTTTCTGCCCATCATCCATGTCCCAAAGTCCAACCAGCCAAAGGAAAACTGTAGTCAAGTGTTTAAATGTTAACACCAAAACTCTGGAGAAGTTCCTAATTGTGTAGGATTGCTGAGCAGGCTTGCGTGAAACCGTCTGTCTCGGCATCAGCTCAAGTGAAGTCACTGTTTGAAATTAAAGTTAGTATTTTAGGACTGGCAGGCAGACAGCGGTTCTGCCAGCTTATGATCTTGTTGCACGTCATTCTCACCTTTGAGCGACTGGTTTGCTTCTTGCTTCCATATGGCTGCGGATGCTGAGTTAGGGACCGTAAGAGAATTTCAGCATTGGTGTTATGAATTTCTTAATTTTTTTCAATTTAGAGAAAAAGTTGTGTGATCAGACAGCAGGAAGGAAGCAATCCGTGCCCTTGAAAAGCCCCATCAGATTAAAGTTGGTCTCTCTCTGGGGGGAAAGGAGAGAAGTAGGACTTAAATCGTCACTTTTCAACCTATAGGTTTCCAACCCCAGAAATACCAAAACTTACCATTTGCCAAAATCACAGCGAGACCACGTGGTGAGAGAGCTCCTCTGGGAGGGAGGGCCTGCAGGCTGGTGGCTCCGACTACCTCCAACACCCAAACGCAACTGGCTGGGCTGCTGTCCCCGCCATGCCAGCTGGGTGGAAGAAGGAAGCAGCTGAGATTTAATTTTCTTTTCCTTCGCCCAAGGTATTAGCTAAGGGGCTGCAGTAACTACGATCTTCTCAGTCTAAATCAAGGAGATCAAATCTGATCTACAAACGTAGTCCTGAAAACCCAGGGGTGCCTGTGCTGCTGATCTTACCCTGATCTTGAGAACAGGATAGCAACAGAGATGTTCACAGAGCTTGTAAGATAACCACAGCCTTATTAAAAAGTGTTCCAGTCAATGAAATTGAGGTTGAAACCATCACCAGGGAGTCATTAACAGCAGCACATCTGAGATCCTAATATTGTTTTGCAGGAACAGCAAAAAGGTCTTTGTTACCGGATAGCTAGAAATGCAGCTGATCCAAGGAAAAAACAAAGCATCACAGCCTCTCTGTGGGGAGATAGGTACCAAAGTGCCCTGCTGTGGCCGAGCACTATGACTGAGAGTCCAGGGCTTCACCAAAGGAAAAGGAGCGAGGAGAGTTAAAGGAAAGGAGGATGGTGAGACACTGGAACAGGTTGCCCCATCCCTTCAAGTGTTGCAGGCCAGGCTGGATGGGGCTTTGAGCAACCTGGTCTAGTGGGAGGTGTCCCTGCCCATGGCAGGGGGGCTGGAACTAAATGATCTTGAGGGTCACTTCCAACCTAAACCATGCTATGAAGGAAGAAGGCTCTGGGGGAAGGACTGGAGCACTCTCTTCTCAGGTCTTACCAAGTCATGCTGACTTCTTCCCCCGGCTCTGGGGCTCTAGGCTGCTTATTATAGGCAAAGTAAACCAGTGCCACAGCAGGGCTGGAGAACATCCCTCTGCTGCAACAGGCAGCGGCATCTGCTGAATTTTAAAAGAAAAGTTGGAAGCAGTCCCAGCAGAAGGTGGTAAGTCCCAGTTAATTCCTTTTTACAGAGGAAGTGCAGAAACTCCATGAGATATCTACATCAAATCAAAGTGCTGAGTCCCTCAAAAGAAAAAGCAAGCACTAGCTTCCACTAACTTGTCTTCACAACAGGCTGTGCTGAAGCAAGTTTCTGTACAGCCCAACTGCAGGTGGCATAGCCCCTCTCCTCCCCATTGCCTCAACCTCCGCCCCCAGGGCACAACAAGCTCCCCTCTCCTTCCCAAACTACACAATTGCAATGTTGATCCATTACTGTAGTTATGACACTACAGTCAGCGGACGGGATTCCTGGGCTTGGTAAATCTGCTATGCATCACCCTGAGCATAAACAAAGATCTGGAGGAAAATGAGAAGCAAACCAGCCAGATCTACTGACCTACAGCCCTGTGCTCTCCTGCTTCATGGGGACCATCCCTGTCAAACAGGCCTTTAGGCTGGGATACATGGGCGGGGAAGGTAAATTGTGGCTGGGTGCATTTTAGGCAACACAAGTAGAAGCCTAGCAGGAGTTCCTAGACTCCTCATCTCTAGCACACAGCTTTCAGCTTCTCGACACTCCCAGCAGAAGCAATTAATTTCTGGGACAAACAGAGAGCTATCCTGCTCCGCAGATGTTTCCTCTTAGTTCTACTGGACTCGAGTCAATGAAAACGTGGCAATATCTGCACAGCAACACATGGAACTTTCCACCAGCCCAGATGGGAACAGAAGCAGTCTCAGTTGAAGCCTCTGTTAAAAATCTAACTGCTATTTTTGTTTGGGATGGAAGGGAGGGGTTAAAGAGAGCCAAGAAAATAGAAATGGGCTGCACAGCCCTTAGCACGCCTGAGAACCACAGTCTCAAAGATTTCTTGGCAGATGTTGTATCAACCGGGAGAGCTGTAGGCCCTTTTACCCCTGTCAGAGCTTTGTTTATCCATTTGAGATACGAGTTGGTACCAGCAAACCTCCAGGGGCAGCTGAGACCAATCAGCAGCTGTGTAATACTTTTGGCCAGGCTCATTATTTATATCTCAGGGGTAGAAGCAGCCCCAGTCTGAACTGGGGCCATGCTCCACCCCGCTGCTTTTCAATGCCAACAGATGGGAGGCAGCAACTGCGGAAGGAATAGGACCCCTTGAAGACCCTCAGTTCATTCTGTGCCTGCTTACACAGCTACAGAAGCCCTGGGGGGAGGAGATGCATGGTTAGAGGAGGCACTGCAGACACTCACACTGTGTTAATTTACACTTACGCTCTCAGCAACTGCTTGGTACCAAGCATTTTGTGACTGGGGTAGCCATTTTTGTACACGCAGCCGCTCCACAGGTTTCCCTGTGCTGTGCCACACAGATGCTCAGGTAGCAAGAGTTTGCTTTTTAGGTACCTTGAGCACATAGCCGAGATCTCAGATGGGCTAAATATTTGCCATCTTTAGTAAAAAGCAGAGAGGGAATGCAAATATATATTCATATCCACAGAGGTGTCGTTTAACACGCTTGAAAGACAGTGAGGTTTCTCCCCCCGCTCCAGCTCTCATAACAATCAATTTAAATTTAAAAGGATCTGGAGAGGGAACAAGAAGCATCTTATATGATGTAACTTGCAAAACACTTGGAGATCCTTCAGCTGGAAGGCTATGTAGAAATACACTATTATTGCCATGTTACAAAATTCACCCTGGAAGTAACTCTGGGCAGCCTTTTGGTATCCAACTACAAATCTATAATAAAACAGGCAACAGCTATTCAGAGAACGTCTGTGGTTTAAGACTTGCAATCCTCATTTAGATTAACCATTTTCTGAAACATTAAACAATACATGACCAAACAAAAACTGCTTGTGGTAAGTCCAAGGTACTATAGATGGTTTTTCTTCCTTCAGTTTTCTTTCTTTCTACATTCTTAGAAGTACCTTTGCATGACAGGGAACGGATCACAGCTACTGTAAAGCTGATGTCAGGTTAGTCTTTGCTTCACATAGAATAAATCTACTGGAATGAGTAAAGATGATATACATAACCATTGTCACTTCTTGCCTGTATTACTATGTAGCGCTATTATAGCATACCTAAGCCATTACTTAAGGTACTGAAAAAAATCCCACCTCTTCAAAATAGACATCTTGGGCAAATTTTGTGGGACAATTTATTTTTCTTGTTTTTAACCTGCCTGCTTATTATAGTAGTGGCTACACATATCCGAAATACACAGTAGTACTGCAGTCACCTTGAGTAATTATGTGAGTGAACTCTAGGAAAAGGGCTGAAGAGATTTGGGGACCTTAAGTACACCATATATTTTAATGTGATCATGATTATTAAATTTGAGCTATATTATGTTTTGTCTTATATCTGCAGCTCTCCTTCAGCAAAAACCTTCCCCTTCTACCCACCAAAAGTGTTCCAGACAAGAGAATGTTCTTAATCTGATATTAGAAAATTAAACCAGGAAATTCAGAAAACACTGCTTAAGTAAGAGCTAATTGATTCTTGGATTACTTTAGTAACTTTTGCCATAATGTTTGTTCAAAAGGATCCTTCTAACACTTATAGCTGAAATACCAACTTCTTGAAAATCAACTTTTTCCTTTGACTTCTTCCATCTGTTGTCGCTTCCTATCATGCCAAATAAACAGCTCTTACTCTTTGCTGGGCCAGCCAACAGTAGGGAGAGAATCCACTGCTTTGAAGACCCTGGTGATCCAACTTGATTGGATACCTTATCTGCCATCTTCTGTCTTTCCCTGTAAAGGATCATCACTGACAGCCACTATGCTTTTCCAGTTGATTTATCAAACTGCTAAAAAATTAACTCATTTCCCCTTCTACCTTAGCCATGCTCCTTCTCCTTAGCCACCATGAGAGGCTTTGGCTAGGCTACTACTGTACCAGTGGGCAAAAGGGATAGGCAGAGCTCAAGTAAGCAAAGAAATCTTGGTTTAAAGTATGAATTAGAAGCTTCGGACCATGTTGCATTTATAGTAAAATCTAACCACATTTTATTCAAAGAAAATTAAGATAACTTGAAGAAAGAATTCCACAAAGTGCTGTTCTCATCTGGCTGGTGAACAAAAAAAAATAATTCAAGAGGCCCAAAAGCTGGCTTGTGCTGTACCAAGGACACTCTTGTATACACTCTAGAACACAGCAGCTGGTCTGCAGAAGTGGAACACAGGGAAACAGAATTAAGTGGAACCTACACCAGTTACCCTTGAAAACAGACCCAAGCACTTCCCAGGCAACTGCATCAATTGCTGCTGGTGTGCTTCCTAGATGCGGACAGTTACCCATACGGAAAGCATCTCAAATTTGCTTATTCGTATTTAAGTATAGCTTTCTTTATGCTTAGTAACATTTTAAAAGCCTCTTAGCCAGAAGGATAAAGGTACTGTAACAATAAAATATCCTCTTTCTATATACAAATGGACAAGATTGCACAATCAATTAAAAACAGTTTTGAACATTTAATAAAAACTCATCCTAGAAATCCAACTTTCTGCCGTGAGGTCCCCAAACTCTCCTCTTCATCCAAAATCTTCTGAAGGGCTATGTGCAATGACTTGCCTACTCTTTTTCCCGTCTGCAATGCAAAGAAAGCAAAACAAATCTGAGACATATGCTTATTAACAGGAAGACAACTCTCACGGAACACTTCCTTTTGACAAATATTTTCCCTTTAATGATTAACATACACCAGCTGGTATAATAAAAACATGCTTTTAAGTAAGAAAAATGGCCATGCAAGTTTCATTTTAATTTGATTAAGTTTGAAAAAATGTACACATAAAGGCAGAGCTCCCGTTCATCAGAGAAGCATTCCATGATCATTAACAGCAGATCTGCGCACCACTGGATCGCCCAGGAATACAAATTAAATTCACATCGGGCATAAGCACCTATTCAAATCAGCCAGCACACACAACACGAAGCAATATGCTGGCTGCCAGAGGACAAGAGATATCTGACCAGCAAAGCAGCCTACTAATGCAAAGTTCAGTAAACTCTTCTGAATGTGCCCAGAATCAGCAGACTAAATTTAGACCAGCTCAACACCCTGCCATGTGGCCAGAGAAGCCCAAAATGCACACTGGCTGCATCACCAAATCAGTCTGTGGGCAGATTCTTTGTTATGATATGCAGTTCTATACTGTTCAAGGACCTTAAAGGAGTTAACAGAAGGTTTTCTTTACAGAAATAAACTCCAGCAGTGGATAAACCATCAGGATTAGCTCTGATACCAGCCTCTGCTCTTCCCATGTGCACAATTGTACTGTGGAAGCTGCAGGACAGGGAAACATTGGGCAATGCTGAAATAAAGACCTTAAGGTAGTGGTGACTATTAGAGCTTTCCCAAGGTTTCTCTAAATGACCTGAAACACTGACTCCACACAGAGATGAAGAGAGCCCACCCGTCCCTAAAGAGCCAAAGACAGATTATATTAAACTGAGTTTATTAACTCCTGATCTATGCAACGAAGCTGATGCCTGCTATACAGCTGGACCACAAAGCTCTCTTTCACCTGCTGATGACAATTGCCAACGCCATAGGTGCACAAACCTTAAAATAAGGTACATTTCTAATCGAAGAACCGGGTGACAGAATATGGCCCATAGTACCAAAGGAAATTTGGGAAGAGCTTTGATGCAGCAGGGTAGCTTTCAATCCTAGACAGTATGAGCTAAATGCTGAATGAAAGGGCACACACACAAGAATTGTTACAGCTCTGCACTGGGATAAAGATCACAGCTGCAGTCTGGAGTCCTGAGGGGTAATGCACTTTGCGCATTCTTCTCCTCAAATGTAGGACATCACCACTCACACTAGGTCAAAGTGAATGAGAACTGTGCAGAGCTTTGGTATTGATGCAACACACAACACTGTTGCCATCTTATTTCTGTAAAAAAATCCTATGGATTGGATCATAAACTCAGTAAAAAAACCCCTAATGCTGGCAGCTTCCCAAAACTTTCCCATGAAACTGCCTTCCTAAAAGATATGTCCTAGGAACATCTGTTCTCTACCAAGCAGGGAAAGCTGAACACTCTCTGACCTGCAGCCAAATCATAAGGGAACGGAGGTGTCAAGCAAGGGTTCTGCAGCTCCTCCACTGGACATTCCCAGGCCTTTTTGTTTTTCTTGGTATCCTAATCAGGCTGCTGAGTTTGAGGCAGGTCTGAACAGATAATCTCTGACCTCCCAGAAAACATCATGGTTTCTTCTCATCAGCTTTAGCCCTCGCTCCTTCAAACTACTCAGCACCCAGGAGGGAAGACTTCTTCCAAAGCAAGTGAGAGACAGCACAAATCACTGGGTGATCAGCTTAAGCTCTTAACTCCTTGCACTAACAAGTAGGGACAAGTTCACTAAAGCTGTTAAGCAGAGTAGGACAGTTTGAAGATTTCCCATGGTTACCTTCCATATGCATCCCTGATTAGCGTTTAGATAAGCATGATATAAACCCAAGCACAGCCTTTGGGGGTAGGCTATACAACAGAACTTCAGAAGTTCACTTCCTATTTAGGGCTCAATGTAGAGCAAAATCTGTGATCAAAATAGAGGCTCCGATCAAAGCTTTCTGCAGAAAATTTGCATGTGTGCCAGCTTCTACCATAAACCTATATCTAACTTAAGCACACACCTCTTTGTAGCAGCCCTAAACCCAAAATCTCAAGTTTTCTGATGGTTAGTTAGAATTGGACTCAAAATCTATCAAGGAAGACATATCAGATGTCCATAGGAAGTTTGGTTTCTTTAGCATGCCAACTCTGCACATCTACGCAGATGATAAGGGGGATAAGTGACCTCTCTGACGGCAAATAAAAGGCCCATCAGTACCACCAAGAGTAGCACTCTGGTCAACATCAGGAAACAGTGAAGTGCTATATATACTCAGCGTGTAATTTCCACTTGAGACCAAGTGTTTTCAAACTTGGCTCCAAGTTCTGCATTCTTCACTACAGCCATGCTGAAATTAGTTCTGAATCTCTAGGAAACACAGCCAGTTTGAAGTATTTTTCATTCTGACTCCAAGTTCAAAACCCAGTTCTGTCTCATGCTCAAGGCCAAACCCAGGCATGAGAATTTATACTCGAAAACAGTTTTAAGAAAACCCTGAAGAAAAGTTTAAAATGGAGTTTTTATGTGGATGTGAACAACATCCAGACACCAGTATTTTCATGGAGTAGAGAGATCAGAAACCCGATAAAGGAGCAAAGAAAAACAACAGTAAAAATTAATATACTCCATCCAGCGTGACCTGGACAGGCTGGAGAGCTGGGCAGAGAGGAACCTAACGAGGTTCAACATAAGCAAGTGCAGGGTCCCTCATGCACCTAAGAAAAGCATCAGGATCTCTGCTCTTAAAGCCCTTACTGCAGCTTTTCATATACTCAAGTTCCAGTTCACCCAGTGTCATTCAGTATCATCAGTACCTGCTCCAAAGTCCTTACCTCCATCATTTCAAAAATACTCTCAGGATCAAGGCTACCTTTCCCCACTTTCTTCATAGAAGTGAGGGCGCCTTTACTGGTCACAGAAATAAGCAGGCTGGCCAAAGAACAGGCTTCTTCCTGAAGTGTAGCATCCACCACATGCCTATACCCAATCTGTAGGTTAGTGACAAAATGACATATTAGTTTGCAGCTCTTTATTAAGAAGTTAAACTGTGAGTAGTAGCTCTGTTGGCTATCTACAGCCTCCCATCCTAATATCACGTGACTGACTTTACAGCACAGTACTTAAACAGCCTCTGACCCCAAATTATGTGTACGTACATAACAGAGGTGAGATAAGCATGTCACTATTTCACACTGTTTTCCTCTCTGACCATACTTTAATAATAAACAACTCTTCTGCATGCAAGAAGATGCATTTTAAGAAGGCAACAAGTGGAAATCTGCAAGTCAGAGGTGGAAAAAAACCCTTTATTCAGTAAAAGTTCTTAATTGGGAGGCCAGGCATGAACAAATATATACGTAGTGGACACTGACGATTTCCGTAAGGCAAGTTTTTTCTCTAGGGAAAAAATAAACATCAGGTGAAGTTAATAGAAACTGAAGTGTTAGGTAGAAGGTCAGAAATTTGTCAGGCTTACTTTGCTTAGTGTGACGATGCAGGGCACATCATCCACATTAAGTCTAATACAATCATAGGGGTCATCAGACAGCTCAATCTCTTTAGAGCCTTCTTCATCCTCCAGAACACGCACTTTGGGTATTCTGTGGAAACAAAACGTGCAAAATCATTGCCAGAACAGATAACAAATACAGGTGTCATACAGTCTCAACTCCAAGAAGTGCCCATTCCTCTAAATGAGGCTAAATGTTTAGAAAAAAAAAAATCCAGAAAGTTATCAAAGTATTAACAACTCACTCACTGACACTAGGAAGAAAACATTGTAAGTAGGAAGATATTTAGGATAAGACCATCATATTTGCATCATTCAAACCGTTAGAATCTGAACTGTTTTTTACACTAATACACGGGGAGAGATTCTTTCGGAACTTGCACAATGCAATTCTGAACAATTCTTTGTACATCTGTCTGGACGTATAGGAGAGAAATTACCAAGACTGAATCTTTTTGTACTGTGGTTCCCAACCTTGCAGACAACAGTACAGTTGTCAGAATTACGGCAATTGCATTGCTTGGCCAAGCTGGGCATCAGTAGCAAACACAAGTAGTAAAGCTGCTCAGGAAAGAATGACACTAAGGAGATTTGGGGTAAAGGAAGAAGATGACATTAGTAAAATCCATTCTCTTTAGCAAGATGGGAAGATTGGGAAGATATTCTCATTCTTTGAGAAGCCAGAAGACTCTATTGTTCTAAGGACAGATACACAAAAGCAAACACCAGGGAGAAAAACCCAGGCAGAAATCCAAGAAATGCTTTCTTCTCAATTGTGAGTGACAAGCTCACAAATGAGCTAGACAGGCTCCTTATCAGTGATAAACATATTATACTTGTTATAGCCATTTAATGGGAGTTTTACAGGATGATTTAATGCAGCTTTCTTCGCACAATTAATAAAATAATTTAAAACAATTTAGTAGAAGACAGTATCGCAAGAAGCCAAGAACATCAGTGTCTTATTTACCCTCATTTATCCAGGTGCCCACTAGGATGGAGTACTGACTGAGAGACTTTGCTCTACTGGCCAGTAAAACCCCCACACAGCTCAACCATACTGCTCTCACTTTTACACATTTGCACTTGAAAACATAAAATATTTCAAGATGTCCCTAGAAAGCTAACTTCAGTAACCATGTGGAATGTAACCACGATCTGTTTTTTTATTAGTACTTTTACAGTAGCGGTGTGTTTTATAACTAGACTCTGGAGGTTACATTCTTTTACGCATTCTGTACCAAATCTCTTTTAAGAGGAGGAGATAGGGACTGATTTATTGAACTTTTCCCCCACCAACGCAAAGTGATTTTTATTGTTCCCTGGAAGAGTATTTTAATTATTTGTGGCTAAGAGTCTTAGAGGCAAATACTTCAATACAGCTAACCCTGCTTCAGTGAGAACAAATTCCCTACAGCAACATTGGCCTGTGCCAAGCTAAAACCTAAACTTTCTACGTAACAACTACGATGTGTACTTTTTCCTGAAATGAAACTCAAAATGCTTTGCAGAGTTACATAACATCTAATTGGAAATGCATCAAAGCCTGTTTTCAAGTTAAAAATATTCAATTAAAAATTGATGGAATAAAGTCACAAGGTGACTAACCCTCTAGCTACGCAGGACAATGGAGAACATTGGACAACAGCCTAGACAAAAAGTGTATCTGCCAGAGCAGTGCTTAAAAAAGAATGAAGATTTCAAGAAAATCTGTGAGATTAAGCAATTTTTAACTTCGTCCTAGAATAGCTATGAAACCAGAGCAATGTTTAGTCTGCAAGAAAAAGTTGCCAGAATTAATACCTGAAAAAACCCTTCAAAGCGCTGTTCAGGCCAGGAACAGAGGAGAGAGGTACACATTAGAACTACTGCAGAGGCAGAAAGATAGTTGATCAGACACAAGCATCATAGTTGAATAAAAAGGGGGTATATACACAGAAAAAATACGCAAAGAGAGTGTAGCACAAAAAGGATTTCCAGAAAACTGGAGATTTCCTCTCCCAGCTTATGAAGATTTATCTTAAGAACCAGCTGTACATGTTTATTTTGCAACTTTTATTTTTCTGGTTTGATTCCTGCAACTAATCAGGGCAGAAATCTGTACAGCAGGACTTAGTCACATAAGGAACAATGCTTTTTTCTGTGAGCTGCGACTCAGATTTCCCAACTGCAAAACCAGTTCTACCCTTGCAAGCAGGCATCGGTTCTGTCTCTACCATGCTGCCCAGCAAAAATCAGGACATCTGCAAGGCTACTGTGTTATAAACTCTGCAGCTTTTGTAACTTGCCTAGTTTCTGTTGCCTCGGTTGCAAGTAGGCACATTCCACAGGATCAAGGTTAATACTAAGTCGACACAGTAGCTACACGCACATTTTGCAGTATCTACTTCCATCATGGATAGATCCAGCCTTAAACACCTTGGAAACACAGTTAAGAAGAAAGTTTGATATCTGTTCTCTTTTGCACATGATCTTGACATAGTTTTTATAATATAATGAACAATACAAAACTCCAAGGAGTAAATGTTCCCCCTAAAACAGTCATATTGTCATTGTGCCATGCCTGAAGGGGATACAATGAGTCAGGTCAGCCATACAAAGGATTTAAATCCCGTAATTCTTGTGCAAAATTCCTTAAGTTACGGGTTTGCATTTACTTAGCCGTAAAGAAAAATGCGTCCATAGCATTATAAAAATGGTTAAAGCAAGATTTTAAGGACGAACTGAGGTTTTCAAATACCTATTTGAACATCTAAAAATCTGTAGCTTCAAAGAAAAAACAGCAGCTTGAGCTCTCTGTTCTCGGTTCCAAGGCTGCAGTCAAAGCTGACAAAGATCTGAAAACACTTACAACAAAAACCTGGTTGTAAACAGATTACGAAAGGCGAGTAAGACTCAAAGAGGGACACCCATGTCAAGTGAAGTTCAGAACACTTAATCTGAAGTGACCTTCAAACTGACATCTTGTCTTGCTGGGACAATAATATTTTACGGAAAGTGGGCAACTACTCTAAACACCCTCGTGTCAATCCAAAGAAAACTTAGTAGGTACTAAAAGAAAGGGAGAGGAAAAGTGAATGCGGACAACAGGTTTTCACTTTGAATTTCACCTTTTGACTTTGTGAGCTCGTATGAGATTAGATGTACTAGCATTCCCTGCTCAAATCAATAGACAGGGTTTTCACAGGTCAAAAATCAACAGGCTCTGCATTATGTCATACTGTACCACATTTTGATTTGATATCCAACTTCAACAAGACTGTGGATGCTCGCCCTCAGATTAAAAATTATATGAAAGATACAGTTTTCAGAAGAATAAAAATAAAGCAGAATCATTAAAACAACTATACTCTCCATGTTGTCTGTGCTCCCAAAGCAACAGATTTTCTTTTATTTATTTAAATTAATTTTTATATGATCTCTCTTTATTCAGAACTAGGATTCTGGATGAAATAAGAAAAAAAAGATGTAGTTATTTTGTAAATAAAGTATGTGCCTTGGATCTGCAAAACAATTCACATGGGAATGACTTTTTTAATTATATGACTTTTGCATCCTGGCATCTCACACACAGACAAAGGCATTTCTTCCCTTTAGCGTACTGTCAACTCTTTTGTGAGCCAATACATTCATGACAGTATTTCTTAATGCTACAAAACCAATCTACTGTTAAAAGTTACTGTTGAGATCTTGAGTAACACGGGAAATTTCTCAGCAATATATAAGTTGTAGTCTTAGACGGATTCTCCCCTTATCCCCTTTTAAAGTGTTTATATCCTGATATACTGCCTGTTTTCAAAAGCATATTTTCCTCTTCTTCTTACACAGACTTTTCCAGCTCTAGTACTGTGTGCTGATTCTCTGATGAATAAGCCAGAACAACAACAGTGACTTTAGCAACTCCAATTTACAGCTGAAAAACAATTTGAGATCCCCTTTCAAAACATTTACGCCTGTAAGGGTCTAACTTTTGCACTGCTTCCAGCTACTTTTACTACATAATTTTTTTAGCAAAGCCATTCACTAGTTTGTTTCTCAAGGGTGCTACAAAACTCTGTATTCCCTCTCATCTATAGATATCGAAGACAAAAACACTAGAAAAAATATTATTGAATGCTATCATTAAAACACACACAGAGCACTCACATCATTCATTCTACTACATTTTGTTCTTCCATTCTTTGAATTAAAACGCATGGGGCAAAGTTCTTTTAAGGACACATCATCCCTCCCTCTCCACAATCTCTCACCACTAGTTCTTCCATTTAGTTTTAAAAAGAACTCTAGAATAACAGTAAATGAGAAAGAACATCAGAAGTGGGAAAACAGGGCTAGTTATAAATCGGTAGTCATATTGACAGAGGGCCTTTTATTCAGAAGCGTCACATACCAGTAAATACTTCTTATTTTAAACCCACAAGGCATCAACACGAAGGCCTACAACTACTTGCAACAAAACCACACGGTCAAGACAATTTTTTCTGGATCTGGCTACAGAACAAAAGTTATATTGTGAGCCTGATTGTGCATATAATGCAATATGACACTTGATTATCAGAAACTGAATAAAGTCATTAGTTCATGTTACTTGCATGCAAATGGACTGCCTTGTATCTGAATGCACGTTGCCTTGGATATTTCTTATTTAAATAATTAAGCATTAAAAATGCTTAGCTCAGAGTACTTCTCTTTCACTTCCCATGCCACTTCCACTCACATGAAATGAGATCTGTGCTTTACCTTGTGTTAAAGAGAGCTGCCTTCACTGCGATTGAGATTGCATCAAGGAGGTTTCCACCACATTCCAGTAACTGGAGAGGAAAGAAGAAAATCAGGCTAGTGCTTTTAAACCAAGTCTTTATTTCACTTAAACCTACTTAAAACAGCAGAAAATTAAGAAACAAAACGGGTTTTTAAAAAACAAAGCTGTTTTTAAAGCGTATCTATGAAAATACACAGATAGGGAATTAAGATTTTAGCTAACTGTATTATACATGCAAAAGAGAAGAGTTAACGCACTTCATAATAAAATCAACAATAAGATTTAATAATAGCAGCTGAAATGAAACGACTGCTGTTCTTACTCTTCTTCTGTTAAGGCTCTGAACTAGGCTATGACCAGAATACTTTTTATCAACTCACCATATTCATTCATTAATGTTAAACCAAGCCAATCCATTTTCTATACTTCATTTCAAAGCGGAGTCTTTTTTAAATATCAGCTGGACAAACCCAATTGGTAGAACTGTTTTCAAAGAAGCAATGCAAACTGTCACCCAGAACATGGTATGAAAAGGTATAGTTACGAAGGCACATCATGATTTATTGTCTATTCCTTATGGAAATGGAGTCATCAGCAAGTTTGTCTTGTAGCTGAAAAGGATCTAAGGAAATCCTGATGTCAAAGCCTACTTGTTGATAACACTATCATTTGAATTAAAGTGTGTGGAGGGATTCTAGCTTAGCTTCTTCCCCTGAAGATTACAAGAACAGCACTGCATCCTATATAAAAAGGCTGGGCTCCCATAACCACTAATACCTTCTACAGGCTGACAGACAACTCAAAGATGTATTTGGCCACAGTCTAGTGTTAGCTCTCGAGAAGCTCCACTCTGAGCTGCCGCTACTATTCTATGAACACACACATCGCCAGCAAGCATTTGAAACTACTTCAGCGAGAACATATGGATGCATTACATCAATCAATGCTGCACGATGAGAGCAAAATAAGTTTTGCAATACTGATTGCATTGATTTTTCTTCAGAATCTATTTAAGAATGAGATAAACCCCTGCACTGGGAGCAAATCATAAATCAGATCTTCTGGAAAGACAGTTTATTTTTATGAAGACAGACTTAACTGTGTAAAAACAATGACAAAAAGTTGGGATAGAAAGCTAAATACAAAGGCAATCAAATTATTTCTTTGCAAACAGCTGCTGGATACAGAGAGGTTAACTTGCCACGTTCAGTCATTATTGGATTTTACTGGATAACACAATAAGCTCCACAATATCTTTGTTATTAAAACACAGGAATGGGATGTGCCTGTACTGTTGCTAGGCTTATGTTCAGGCTGCTGTTTTAAAGCCTTATCAGTATTACAGTGGCACCTACAGGAACACAGCCTGTATCAAGCATGGTACAATTCCCCCATGAAGAAATGAACGCTCTCTTCTCAGCTGAAACACCTTGTACTGAGACCTTCCTTTTTTTTAAGGACTAAGAAAGTCTGCACAACTGTGCATTGTGGGAAGCAAAGGAGTCTTTAAAAAGGACTGCTTTTAATTTACTGATGTGCAAATGAAAAAGTTACTGGGGGTGGAAAAAAGACAAAACATTGTAGACCTTGCCTTACTCAGTTTTTTCTTACAGAAGGACAGAATTCTAAGGTGGTTTTTTTCCCCAAACTGGGGAGGAAAGAGAAAAGATAAGGAAGTCCTCTGAGGGATGCTCAGTAGTGAACTGCTAAAATTTCAACAGAAACTAATGCACCCCCCCAACGCACAATGTACTGTGATTGATGTGAGATGAAGAGATTGCACACTTTGATTCTCCTTGCTCAGCACTGCAGGCTGCTGGGGCAAATTATGTGGAGAAGGCTATACATGTACCAAAAACACCCTAAAAATGCCTAAAAGTTTATTTCTGACATCAGCGACTTAGAAGGGGAAAGAAATTGAGGGAAAGACAGAGGGGGTGAGAACAGGCTTATAGTTTTGTAGTACAGTGTATCTCCACATTCATGAGCTACTCTTTGAAAGCTGAATGCCTTCTACTATTAAGAAAGAATACATGTATTTTGAAACGTCAAGGTGTATATCCTTGACCTTTAACACATATCTATACGTGTCCATGTCTGCATCTTTGTAGTGTGTATAGTTGAAGTTATTTTCTTTCTAGTCTGACTGTACACAATTACAGCACCTCCCAAGTACACTGATCACTGAGCAAATGCTTGAGGGATGCATGACTATACAAAATATGCTACCTTCTCTTTTGAGGTTGCGTATCTCAAACTTTGTTTACACATAAGAGCTGAATATATATGCCTTGATCAAAGTGCGCATGGCTAAATTACACAGCAATGGAGTACCTCCTGGTTCATAACATTCTTTCTGGGTTTTTGTCTGAGAGAGAGACTGAAAACAAGTACCCTCCCACCTGCCTACAAGGTACCAGTAGTTTCAGGCTTACTGCAGATTTAAGGCTTATTTTCCCTCCAACTTAACTATGCAACACGAACACTAATGTGAACAATTTCCAGGAATTCTGAAGGAAAACATCATACAAAGGACTCTCAATGAGCATTGTAATTATATTTAGAATCTGCTTCCCTCAAATGATGAATAATATAACTTGTAGTGCCTTATACTAGTGCAAGTGTCATACTTCCATCATGTACTATTAAAATAGAGCTTTATAGGAATGATTGAGCAAGAGCAGCTTCAGGAAAACCTGTTAGGTATCAAGTGTAAACTGTAACATGTGATATACATCTTCTATTTAGAAGAGGAAATAGTACAAATACCCCAAAAATGTGAAAATACAGAGGCCTGGGGTGGGGGAAAAAAAAAAAAAAAAAAAAAAAAAAAAGAGGGACGGAACAGAATAAGAGACAAAAGCATCTTCTTCTAACTATACCAGCAGCTCATCAATGGCTCACACACAAAATTCCTGGAGAATAGGACATTAAAAAGACTCATCAAGTTTATAGTCCTAATTGTGAACCTACAAGGGATTCTTTATTGACACTGGAAACAAAGCTAAATCTAACACAAAACATAGGTCTTGACATTCATAATTCTGATACAACTAGTAGCATAAAAAAAAAACAAAGCCGTTTTTCTCTGTAGCTGTGGACAATCAACAAATTCATCCAGGAAGAATCAAGTACCGACCAGTTATACAGTTATACCTCATACAAAAGCTATATAGAACTACGCCTGCAGCAGCCAGCTTTATGAAAGTCTTGGTTTATGCAGTGTTTATGTAATGTTAAGCAGTACGTGGCTTAAATAAGCACAACATTTAATATTCTGTACCTCTGCTTGTAATTACCTAGTAACTAAAGGCCCCGGTGTGATTTCTCTGAACTAACACTTCATTCTCTATTAAACTATGCCAAGCTCCAACAAGCTGGTGACTAGGACTGTTAAAGCACTCAGCAGTGGTACACATTTGATCATTCTGTATGCGGACTAAGTCACTGTATGTGACTGTTATCTACTATAATTACGCTAATGCTACTGCTTTTTAAACACCTAGTGGACTAATTTTCACATTTATTCATGTCTTAGTCTGACTGTTCCTGTTTTAACAAAACCCTGTTTGGTTTTTGTTTGGCAGTACAGCTTAATGTTTTGCAAATCATTTCATAGACATTAATGGATTCCTGTGAGTAAGATCCCTCAACATATTTTCCGTTACAAATTTGACAAACAGAAACTCAACTTTGGACCAATAAGAATTGAAAACAATGCTTAGGAGAGTCTGACTTGCAGAATTTTATTAAATCCCCATGACAGAGTGCTTTAAATACAGCACAGTTTAGAAATTGAGCTGCTGCATGCACAAGATTTATATGCATAAAATTCAGTTTCCATTTTTTAATGGGAACAAATATTTAGTTTGTCTTCTACACTCAATACATGGATACAACTTTCATCAAAAAGTGCCTAGGCCAAATGTAACTTTTGCCAGAAAAGTTTCTACTTTACTTTACTGAATTAGGACTGTTAATAGTACAGAGAGGTAGACGGGATGGACAGGTATGTTAGGGCAAATATACACCCATGCTAACTCCTACTAACTAGAATGCAACATTTGCCACTATATCTAGCTAGGAAAATAGTTTAGCCCTCTTTAGTGGCAATTTCCTTGTCACTATAAGGTCACTGATTTTTATCTGAGACGGATTGAGAGTATTCACCGTTTTGTTGGCTCTGCAGTGGAGCAGCAGCATCAAGAAGAGTAGAAGAAGAGCAAGCTGGAAGTAGTGATTAAGTATTACAGGTAGATTCACAAGAAAATGGCCATCTATGCTGTGAAGCATTATATCACAGTATGAGAAGCTTTTTTTTTATATGAAAATACACATGGTTATGCTAAGTCAGTCAGCACCTTGAAAAACCTCCTTGAATTTTGGTTTTCATTTCCTTACTTACCAATACATCAACATAGAGAACCCAGCAGTGCTCTCTGGGATTAATACAAAGTGATTTCAAGTCTACACTGCTCTCACTGCTAAATACTCTGTAGAGTGTATTTGCTATCTCTGTGCCAAGTTCTTCTCCTCCCCGGCCTTCAAATTCAGGAGTAGCATTTGCAGAACTAGATAAAGAAAGAAAAAATACTTTCACTTCTGAAGCAGCCAATACCCGAGGAACATTTCTTAAATATAAAGAATTAGAAACATCTAAGGATTTATTTGTACAAGAATAAGCATCCTATCTGTAAAGAAATTAGTCACATTTTGCATAAGAAAATGCCTTGATGCAGATAATATACCTATATTTTGCTACAAACTTGATACTAATTAAATTCCACTACTATCTTCAGTTCCCAAGTTACAATATTAAAGTTGATGAATTCTCTCAGGGATTATTTCTTAAGCACTCTCATTTTCTATCTTCTCAACCCTTTCAAAAATAAAAAAGTAAGAGAACTCTGTACTAAGTTCAGAACAGCTAACAAGACAGCCTGTTAGAGTCGAATGTTAAATTAATAAGATAAGAGAGTGGCTAAGAAGAGAAAGATGTGACAATATGACAAGTAGAATGCATATTTTTTTCAAAGTGACATGACTGCCTGACCTTAATTGGTAATTTCTTTACTGAGTGTGCTCTTTGCTATCAGACAGCAGCTCATTATTTTCAGCAACTGCAGCTTATGGAGAGCAGCAACTAAAGACCATTTTTTCCAGAAGGGATCTGACAAAAGTGTGTGGTCTTCACTTCCCTCATTCCAACGTAACAAACTTTGTTCATGAGCAGTCATGCAAGAAAGTGCTTGGGTGCTGAGGCCTTGTACACAGCTAAGAACAAAATTCTAACAATAAAAGAAAACAGGCCTACAAAAAAAAAACCCAACCCACAAACAAAAAAACCCCACCTCCAAGTCACAATGAAACAGAGCAAAACGTTCAGAGATGCAAACACAGCAAAATAATAAACAAATATTCTGAACCCAACCTCTGGTTTATAGAGGGGGCAAGAGCATTCTCAAGCAGTGGAGACCCACAGCACACATTGCAGAGCTTGTTTTTAAATGAACTAGTCAGTCCTCCCCCAAATTAATTATATTCATTACAGAACATAGGAAAGGAGGTGTTTCCACAGAAGTAGTTTGATATGTTCAAAATCTACAATAGCAAAGCCTTGTGTTCTCCTGCCTCAGCACCTCACAGCGCCAATTTCTCATGTACCTTTTGTATTTATATGATGATAAAAACTCTTAGCTCTTCCAACAGGAACAGCACAGGAATGCAAACATACAGCAGAAAACAAAGCCCTAGAATATAATCCCTTCACCTTTAAAAAACCAACAACTAAAGACCTACGTTATCTAGGTATGACTTAAACCATCCACTGAGCTGTATCAACAAAACTGCAGCACCTATAAGGGAAATCCTTACCTCACAGTAATTCTCCCAACTTGTTCTTCTGCAGAACTGATGAAAACTCAGAATATGAGAAAGAGCTACTGAATTTTAGAGAAGTTACTTGCTGCTTCTATAACCAGACAGCACTATACATGCTTTAAAAAAATAAATAAATTACTGCAGATCAAGCACTGACCTGTGCTTCTAAACTACATTTGCCACATGAATAAGAGCTGCAAGTGTGACATAGTACTATTCACAGCTGTGTTAATATTAGACACCAATTCTATAAGATAGGACCATATCTAAGGGTAACTTAATTCTGGAAACATGCTGAGTTGGGCCTTTAGGTTGTATTAAACAAGCACTTATCCATAGAAGCAGCTTTCACACGAGTTAACTAGATCATTCTGTTTAAACCTTTCTGTTTAAAGGATGGTTATACAAGTATTATGATTCCTACGATAAGTTGAAAAGAAGTACACAAACCTCGATCTATACCTCGTTATTACTTCTAAACACTAAGTTTTATCAAATGTTGTAGTTTTTAAATATAAATAGCCACTTTCTTTGACAGAAAATAAGGAGAACATAAGACTCAACTGGAATATCATTGCAAGTTTCACTGCATCTTAATTCCATTATTATTTTAACACTTCAATTCCTTGCAATCAAAGTGAAATAAAATGTAATGTTAGAAGGTTACTATTATAACTACATGGTAAATACTGCCACCCAATGCTCAGACTATTGCAGTGATTTACACTGCATAAAATTTGAAAAATGGTTGTCCAGCACACTAGTAAAAGAAAATGCCCAAAAGCTTGTTTTACGGAGCACAGAAAGAACTTAGCAGTGGCCAAGCAGAGCACAGAACTTCTACTCCTGAACAGAATGTAATTTTAAAGACTTTCAAAACCATTTCAGTGTCACATTGCATAACAATCAAGACTCCTAGAGCACAATGAGGCTTCTATCACAGATTTTTACTTTCAAAACCCTTGCTGTTACCGGTCAAAACCTTTCTCTCACAGTAGCTCAGTACTTCCCATCCGTTGCTCAGTCCATTAATATACTATAATATACAATGTAAGTATTTATAACAAAAGATAAAGCAGTTAATTAAATAAAAGCTTACAGCTATTTTCCTGATATACAAGAGCTTCATTACACAGAGGATATTCTTCACTTAAAGTCATATTTACTTCAAGGAACCAATACCAGATTTCTATTCTTGCACCAAAAGAAACATACAATCATTTAAAACAAGGCAGCAGATTTATTTTTTTAGAATCAGC